ACCCTAGTCATTTTCGAGGTGATAAGACAAGGTGAACTTGTTGACAGTTTGTCAACAATTAAGACAGTTAGACAATTAGAGTTTGTTCTTATATTTGGTCTTTGGCCGCAGAGCTCCGAAATCCCTTGGAATTTCCTGGGTGATAGGAGTGTCTTTTGTTCTAATGACGTGACCCTGGGCTCCTGAATGGGGGCTGGTCTCACCAGAAAGACCAAGCCATGATTAGAACCTTGGAATTTTCAGCCCCTTCTCCTCAACATTCTCCAGAGATGGGACAGGGGCTGGAAATGGAGTTACTAATTGATCATGCCTTTGTGAGGAAGCCTCCATAAAATCCCAACAGTACGAGGTTTGAGGAGCTTCCAGTTTCTGCATTTGGAGGGTGATGCACCCCAATTCCACGGGGACAGGAGCTTCTGCACTCAGGAACCTCCCAGACCTCGCCTTTGTAGCTCTTCATCTGGGTGTTCATCCGTAGCCCCTATCTCATCCTTTAATAAACTGGTAAATGTAAATAAGTGTTTCCCTGAGTTCTATGAGCTGTTCTTGCAAATTACTGCATCCGAAAGGGAGGCAGTCATGGGAACCTCCGATCTGTAGCCAAGTCGGACAGAAGTTGTGGGTCACCTGGGGACCCACTCCTTGCCATTGGCATCTGAAGTGTGTGTGGGGCAGTCTCGTGGCACTGAGCCCTTAGCCTGTGGGATCTGATGCCATCTCCAGGTAGCTAGTGTCAGAACTGAGTTCAGTCGTATGACACCAGCTGGCGTCACAGAAGTGCCGGGTGTGGAGAAACCCACACATCTGTGTCAGAAGTGCTGCGAGTGTGGCAGTCATGGAGAGTAAAGGAGAAATGCAGGAGGTAGATGGAGCTTTTCCTAACACGTGTGGCTTTAGAGGGGGCGTGGCAGGGGCTCAAGGGTCAAGATTCAGCGGGTACAAAGCAGAGACGGGAGACTCAGACTCCGCTGGCGAGGTTCCCCGGTGGCGTTTGTCTCTGTAACTCGCATGACGGCAGAGGAGACAGGCAACAAACACATTGCACCCTCTGAACCAGCCCCGCACCTCTGGGTTCACATGCTGCCCGAGGAGAGTGGCTGATAGATCGTGCAGCATCCAGGGTCTGCAACCTTGCTGGAGGGTTTCCAGAATTCCTGTGCTGCACGCTCTTTTTAGGTACAGAAATAGATGCTTTTTGCTGCTGAGATGCCATTACTTTAGACGTCCAGCAGCAGCTCCATTCAGCCTCCATGCGGCTCCTTCTACAATCCTTTCCACTCTCTTCCCCTTCTCTGCTTCCTGCTCATTCACAGCAGCCTCGCTGGAGGCCCTCCTCTTCCCCTGTCCCCCTGCCTGCCCACCCCAAACTGGGACCAAACCAAATCAACAACCAAGAACCAGTGTGCAGGCACCTGGCAGGAGAGCCCGGGAAGCTGGACCCCCGGCTAGAGAGGAGGGGTGAGCCAGCATCCAGACCACCCTTCTGGGTTGGCCGAGAGAAGAATGGGTGGAGTGGAGGGGCTTCTCTGAGGTGGGCTCCCAGACACCTCACTCAGGAAGGCAACTATGCAGGGAAGGGCCAGAGCCCCGGGATGGGCTCCAGCAGAGGGGGCAGCTCTGAGGAGGTGCCCTGGGCTGAGGCCCAGGACGCCAGAACCCACGGAGCTGGCCGAGGCCGGGGACAGCCCCGGGTGTCAGAGATCCTGAAATATGAATCACTCACATCTTGAGATCAAGATGAATGTCTTACTCATTTCATTTACGGTAAAGACATTTGGTGAACAAAACTCCTCTACCCAGCATTACGCACCGAAGGTTCCAAATTCGGTAAAAGCTCCTTCCGGACCTAGCCCTCCTGCAGATAACAGGAGATAAACTCTGGTGAAGTTACCAAACAACTATCTGATGCCAGCGGAGTGAACAAAAACTGGCCAGGACCTGACAGAGAGCTGACACCTGGAGAAGAGATATAAGGGTGAGTTTCCATGATTATAACTTTAGCCTGGGGCAGTGGCAGCCACACAGTGACTACAGATGCCGATAGAAAATGGCACCTCTCTGATCTGAAGAGCCAGAGGACCAGCTTCAGGGCCACCACAGCTGCTGGAAAGTGAGCAGAAAATCCAGGAGCAGAACAAGCCAGAAAGGAGGAGCCTCAAATTCTCTGGATAAATCTGCCCAAATGAGATCATCAGAATTTCAAACTTCTTGTCAAGGACACTGTTAAGAAAAGAGGCAAACCACAGACGGAAAGCAAACGTGTGTCTGATGAAGGAATTACATCCAGAAGAGATCAAGAACTTCTGCAAAGCAAAAAATGAGACAGGCCAGTTAAAATCTAGAAAAAATAATAAGACTTGAAAGCTGAAATTACTCCTTAATCCATGGACTGCAGAGTGGATGTTGTGTTAGTAGTCATGAAAACAACACTAATCTCACTGTGCATCTCCATCAGAGCTCTCGGGTGACCAGGTGCCTTGTCAATGAGCAGTAATATTTTGAAAGGAATCTTTTTCTCCGAGCAGTAGGTCTCAACAGTGGACTTAAAATTTTCGGTAACCCACGTTGTAAACACACGTGCTGTCATCCAGGTTTTGTCGTTGCATTTACAGAGCACAGGCAGAGTAGATTTAGCATAATTCTTAAGGGTCTTAGGATTTTCAGAATGTTAAATGAGCAATGGCTTCAACTGCAGGTCACTAACTGCATTAGCCCCTAACGAGAGAGTCAGCCTGTCCTCTGAAGATTTGAAGCCAGGTACTGACTTCTCCTCTCTAGCTATGAAACTCCTAGATGGCATCTTCTTCCAACGCAGGCTGTTTTGTGTACGCTGGATAATAGATGTGGCCACCTTCATCAATTACTTAGCTAGACCTTCTGGGTAACTTGCTGCAGCTTCCGCATCAGCACTTGCTGCTTTATCTCCTACTTCTAGGAGATAAAGCTTCTTTCTTAAACCTCATGAACCAACCTCTGCTGGCTTCAAACTTTTGCTCTGCAGCTTCCTCACCTCTTTTAGCCTTCACAGAATTGAAGAGAGTTAGGGCCTGGCTCTAGATTAGGCTCTGGCTTAAGGGAATATTGTGGCTGGTTTGATCTTCTATTCAGACAAGTAAAACTTTCTCCATACCGGCAATAAAGCTGTTTCGCTTTCTCATCATTCGTGTGTTCACTGGGGCAGCACTTTTAATCTCCTTCAAGAACTTTTCCTTTGCATCCACAACTTGGCTGTTTGGTGCAAGAGATCTAGCTTTTGGCCTGTCTCGGCTTTCAACATGCCTTCCTCACTAAGCGTCATCATTTCTAGCTTTTGATTTAAAGTGGGAGACATGTGACTCTTGTTTCTCTTGAACACTTAGAGGCCATTGTAGGGTTACTAAATGGCCTAATTTCAATATTGTTGTGTCTCAGGGAACAGGGAGGCCCAAAGAGAGGGAGAGATGGGACAACAGCCGGTCAGTGGAGCAGTCAGAACACACACAACATTGATCCATTTAATTGGCCATCTTATACGGGTGCAGCTCATGGTGTCCCAAAACAATGGCAATAGTCATGTCAAAGATCACTGATCACTGGAATTATCACCCATAAAAAAAGAATGAAATCATGCCATTTGTAGCAATGGATGGACCTAGAGCTTATCATACTAAGTGAAGTCAGACAGAGAAAGACAAATATCATATGATATCGCTTATATGTGGAATCCAAAAAAATAAGATACAAATGAATTTATTTACAAAACAGAAACAGACTCCTCACAGACATACAAAACAAACTTATGGTTGCCAAAGGGGAAAGGTCGGGGGAGGGATAAATTAGGAGTTTGGGCTTAGCAGATACACACTGCTATATATAAAATAGGTAACCAACAAGGACCTACGGTACAGCACAGGGAACGATACTCAATATTTTGTAATATATATATATATATCTGAATCACTTTGCTGTACCCCTGAAACTGACATGATATTGTACATCAACTCTATTTCATTTTTTTTTAAAAAGATCACAGATCAGATCTCACCACAACAAATATCAAAATAATGAAAAAGTTGGAAATATTGTGAGAATTACCAAAATGTGACCCAGAGACGTGAAGTGAGCAAATGCTCTTGGAAAGATGGTGCCAATAGACTTGCTTGACACAGGGTTGCCCCAAACCTTCAATCTGTAAAAGAACACAGTATCTGCAAAATGCAATAAAGCAAAACACAATAAAGCAAGGTGGGTCCATACTCATAAGCTTTGGATGTGACCTAGGTTGTCAGCCCCCAGCCCACCAGCAGGCCTGAAGAGTGTGCACACAGGCCAAAGCCATCTCTGAGGCCAGCCCTGCCCCTCAGCCTTTTGCGGGGACCTCCCGGCAGGGAGCCCCAAAGCCCACCCCGAGATGCCGAAGACGCAGAACGGATGGGAGTGCCCCCTCCGGCGGCACCTGAGGGTTTCTTACCCAAGCCTGACATGTATTTGTTATGTTGTGTTTTATGAGCATTGCACACAGGAATTCTTATTTTCTAGGTGTTTTCCTGGCTCGCTTGAGGGTAATTTGAGAGAGGGACTTCACTATCTAGTCACTCAGCTAACTTAGCCAGAATCCATTTCCATTAACCATCTTCAGCAGAATTACAGTCATATGATGTTTTTCTTTCTCCTAGGAGAAAACTGCACTAAAAAAATCATGGCAAAATAACCTGGTAACTTTTTTTTTTTGGCTGTGTTGGGTCTTCACTGCTGCACACGGCCTTTCTCTAGTTGCGGCTAGCAGGGGCTGGTGGCTTCTCTTGTTGCGGAGCACGGGCTCTAGGCGCGCGGGCTTCATTAGTTGTGGCACGCGGGCTCAGTAGTTGTGGCACACAGGCTTAGTTGCTCGGCAGCATGTGGGATCTTCCTGGACAAGGGCTCAAACCCGTGTCCCCTGCATTGGCAGGCAGATTCTTTACCACTGTGCCACCAGGGAAGTCCCAACCAGGTAACTTTTAAAGAACTGGAAGCAGAGGCTATTTCATAAACAAAGGTTAATGAAGAAATTTATTTGCAATTGCAAAACATCTTAACAAACAACTAAGTAAGAAAAATTAGTGATAGATTAGTAATAACTACCCTGGTAACAGACACATCTTTAAGATTCAACCTCCTACCACTCTGGCTTTTGCTTCATCTTAATCCAGCAGTTCTGGCTGCCTGGCTTCCTCTTCAAAACTAACGTTTCCTGGGAAGAAAAAGGAAATGTGAGTGCATTACCTTTTTCCATTTAAAAACGCATGATTTGCTAGCAGCTCTTTTGCAATAGGTATTATAAATATTAAACATTTCTATTTATCAGGCAAAATCATGGAACGTTAAATTTTATCTTATACAGACTTTTATAGTTTTTCTTTTGGTGCCAGTAATAAACTAAGCAAAAGGTTTATTCAGAGTAAATGCTAAGACAAAGAATATCCATGTAAGTGAGAGTAAGGTCCAGCATTATCTTTTGCCTGCGCACACTCATCAGTGAATAAAATTGCTGGACTATAATTTATAAGTAACACTGTTGAAACTCTGATCTCTGTGGAAGCTGTACTCCACGCTTCCCACCCTCCCCCCACACCCCCGTAAGAGCATTTGTGTGTATTAATGCTGAAAAATTAAATGGCAAAAGGGTTTAAATTTTGAAGGTGTTTGCTGTATATTATTATACGTGCATTATTATAAAGTGTTATAAAGGTGAAAAACATGTAGTAAAATGAAGCCATGGGATCAATCGACTGGGACCTGCAGCCCAAGGCATGCCATATTGGTGAAATGCAGATTAGCAAGGACCGAGTTAGCGAGAACATGCATCGCACGGCTGTCCCTACCAGGACACCTAAGAAGGAGCGACGTTCCCAGGGCAGGTCCTCTGAGACTTCCCATCCCTCAGGCCTGGCCCAAGGACGGCCTCGGTCAAAGGCAGAGAAAACCCTGCGCCCACCCTGGCGTGCCTGGTGCCTCCTTCCCTCCCACCCTCCTGGCCCCCAGAGTGCAGGCTCACCCTGGTCTAAGCTGTCGTAGTGGAATTCCTCTCCATCCTCCCTGCTGGCGTCTCCCTCCTCCTCTCCAGGCTGCATTGAATCTAATTCCCCCTCTGACACGTTGGTCAGAGGCTGGACCTCCTCCGCCGGCTCTCCCCCGCCTGAGATGGAACAAAGGGAACCGGTATCAGCAGGTGCCTTGCCACACCCACCCTCCTGACAGCAGTGCCCACTTCTCCATCAGGGGACCACTCCCCAACTCAGAGTCACAGCTCCACCCAGGCCTGGCATCTGCTCCCTCATCCCCATCACAGTGATAGGTTCAGGGATGGGCATCACTGCTCTGAAGCACTAATTCCCAAGGGCTTTTTATTTTAAGTATACAATATGTATCCCAAGGGTTTTGATGAGCATTCGGAGAGAAAAGCTCTCTGTTCCCTAGGGTTCTTGAGCGGATTGGGTGGCAATCTGATAAAGTCACTGAGCTTTGGTCGCCAAAGGGAAGAGGGTGCTGGCAAGCAGAGCCAGTGCACAGCAGAGTGGAGATCCGAGCGCAGAGGCCTGATCCAGCCACACCTGAGGCTCTCTCCCCCTCACCGTTCCAGTTGTATGAACCAATGAATTAGCATCAGTATTTTTCCACTTAGGCCAATTGGAATTGGTCTTCAGTCACTTGCAAGAGAAGGGCTCCTGCCCAGTGTAACCTACCTTCGACACTCCACAGCCCCCTGAGGACTTCTTAGGAAGCCCCCTGTGAGGGTCACAGAGAAATGCTGTCCAGATCCCCTTTAGGAAGGACCTGTCACCCCAGCTGCTGTTGGAGCCTTGCCCAGGTCACACCCACGGCCAATCACTGACCAAGGGGAGGGACTCAGAGCCTGCTTCCCAGGGAGCCCTACTCCATCTGACCCCCAGGGCCTCCATATACCCTCAGCTTCTGGGGCCTCGCCCTGGCCTGGTCCATCCGCAGCGGGCTGCTCCTGGGGGAGGGTCGGGGTCCACAAGGCCAATTCTGTGATTTTGGTCACTTTCCAGTTTGGAGCAACAGCTACCTGTGTCTCCTCCTCATCCTCTTCTCTTTCCTAAGTAAAAAAATGTAACTTGACCAACATGCATATGGGACATTTAGAGTGAGGGGAGACGGGACAGGTTTTGAATTGCATTGGGGCATTTTTGTAACGGGATTCAGTGATCAGAGTAATTGCCAACTCTCCATAGTATAACCCAAGAGCTGAAAATGAATCTTGAAAGAACGAGGATGAGACACAAAGGTGAGGGCAACACAGTTCCTGTACTCATTCCGCTGATGGCACAAAAGGCTTTCAGACGTAATGCTTCCCAGTTAAGAAATGACCAGGACTAAGTGCCCTTTGCAACCGCTCAGCCACATTTCAGCTCTAAGGTTCTTTAAACATGACAAAACAAACATTGAAACTGAGCAGGACCTTGTGGGGCTCCTGGACACGAAAGCCTTTCTGTGTCCCCCGTTTCTTGTTTTAGGGAACAGGCCCCAGCCTCCGTGACCTTCTCTGAGTTCCAAAGGGCAGGTTCAAGCAGTTACTAATCAGGAAAGGGAGGGGATACAGAGATAAGGGGGGAGGAACCAAGAAACAGTGGTGCAGCCTTGGGGCAGGGTCCTCGTTCTGCCTCAAGGGATACACAAAACAATGTCTTTGAGCTCTCCTGAAGAACTAAAACCCCCAAGAAATGGAAGATGTTCATTTGAAGATGTTCATTTGATGAAACTGGAATGTTTCATCACTACTTGATGAAACATTGTTCATTCCAGAGAGAAGGTCACAGTTTGATAACCTTGAGAAGCTCAGCAAGAGACCACCTGAGGCCTGATTAAAGGAGTGCAGGCCCTGCACACACCCTGATCCTTATCAGCAACCCCACCCTTGAACCATTGCTATGAAACTCCTCACCAAATTCCACCAGGTTGGGACACACAGTTTTGAGGGCATTAGCCCACTGTGTCCCCCTTTGCCTGGCAAAGCAATAAAGCTGTTCTTTTCTGCTTCACCCAAAACTCTGTCTCTGAGATTCGATTCAGCACAGGTGCACAGAGGCCAAGTTTCGGTATCAACATCACTGCAAGAAAAGGCCAAAAAACACCCAAAGACATCCATGTAATGACATGGAAGGGCATAAACCCTGAAGCTCTAGTCTCAAGGATTATGGAGAGAAAAATAAAATGCAGTGAAAGTAGACAAAGTTCATCAGTTCCAAATGTGGAATAATTTATAATAATGAATAATTCCAACAAAGGTTAACAGCCAACACGTGTCAATCTTACCAAGCACATTGGTCTACTTCTGAGTTTTGTAACTATCACAAAACTCCAAAGATTGAACATCAATCTCTAAATATGGAACACTTCACTGTCACAGAGATGATAATACCTGTGACAAAGAGTGACAGACCCCTGCCTATTACTTCCGTTGAGTCACTCAGAAATACACTGCTCTCCCCCATGTCCAAATGTCTGAGTTTCTCCAGGACAGTGGTGCTCAAACTTGAACTGCACCAGAATCCCGTGGAGGGAGGGGTTGTTGAAGTCCAGATCGCCGGCCCCAGCCTGAGTTTCTGATTCAGGAAGAATGGGGTGGGGCCCAAAACTCTTTATTTCAAACAGATTCCCAGGTAGGGCCAAAGCTGCACGCGGGGACTGCGCTTTGAGAACCGCCCCCAGGGGTGTCTGCTCTCTCATTGGCCCCTGTGTGATCATGTGATCTCCCCCCCACCTTCAGGTGCTCACTCCTCCAGCTGCTGGGGGTGTTGGCAGCTGGTTGCTCATAACAGAGTTCCTCCCAGGAACTGCCCTCCATCAAAGGAGGCCACATCATCCAGGTTTCATGCCCCTGTCCACGGGCAGCCCACAGCCGGTGACTGGTCCACATGTGGGTCACAGATCCTGGCCTCCATTCAGGACACTTTGAAGGGTCATCCCATTTCAGAGCTCCCATGGGGTCCCGTCAGAACTCAGCTTCCCCTTCTGCCCAATCCCCTTTCCTATACTCCCTTAGGGCAATTGGTCCCGACACAGATCTGTAGGATCAGTATCACCGAGCAGCTCGTTTGCCTATGAACGTAGGAGTGATAATAGACTCTGCGACCTACCACATCTGTTAAGCGATATTCCCCATGCTGTTCACAGCCAATATCAAACACGTACTTTCCAGGGCCAACGGGCTACGAGCAAAGAAACCAAGGAATACTTCACTCTTGAGCGTCAACACCCAGTAGAAAGTACAAAATGCTTTATAAATGTGACTTTCATAAAACCTACCCCAAATCATGGAACTGGGAAAAATTCAGTATGGATTAAAGATGCTTTTGTGAACTAATGGCTAATGGAAAGCAAAGTAGAGGCCCCCTTTTGTTTGTTTTAAAAAAAACTTTAACTACATTTTATCTATAAAAGTAATGTATTTATGACAAAAATTTCACTTAGTTGACCCTCACAGTCAAACTAGCTAAAAATAGTACTACTGATATTTTTAAAATTTTTATCTAAATATACTTGATTTACAATATTGTGCTAGAACTACTAATATTTTGATGTAGTCTCTGTAACCTTATTTCTAATACAGATTTTTTTTTTTTTAAATAAAAATCTGACCGTAACTACACGTGCTGACTCTTATTCTATCTTTACTTAGAAACAGGGAATGAATGACCTCCCATATCACGGATATTCTTCCATAACATCAGTTGTCAACCTGGTATGTTATTTCATCAAAGAATTATAATCTGTTTTACTCACTTACTATTGTTGATATTTGGCATATGCTGATACTTTGACCAAAAATGCTATGGTAAACATATTCTGAGTTAAATCTTTAGGTCCACCCTTGGCATTTTCCTCGGGGTAAATTTTCAGAAGTTGAATTTCTGGACAAAAGTATGTGTTTTCTATATACACATATATATTTTTAACCAGAATAAGGCTCTAATAATTTTCTTTCCCACAACAGCACTTAAGAGCCTCTCGTCCACAAACCCTTATTTTTTCTGGACTTAACATTTGTTATACTTTTACATTTTTTATATATATGTAAAAAACAGGACCTCATCATTTTAAGTCACACCTTTTAAGTTATTAGTGAGGCTGAATTTTTTTTTCAACATTTTTGAAATTTAAATCACGTTGATTAAGTGCTTTACCAATTCACTGTTACAAATATCCTGACCCCATTTGTCAGATATCTCTTAAATTCTCTTTATGGTGCTCTCTAGTCTATATTGGATTATTTTTATCAAGTGAAGTCTTTTGGTTTTTCCTTTCTATTTCTGTATAGAAAGTCCTCTTCCTCGTTCCAAAGGTCATAAATACTTATTCTTCTCTCTGTGACTTTCTTGTTTGCATTTAAATCTTTATTTCTTCTAGTAAGTATCTTCATCTACATGCTGGAGGACAAACTTTGGTTTTATTTTTTTCTCCCAAATGGTCATCAAGCTGTCCCAGCACCATTTCTTTTTTTTTTTTTTTTTTTTAGCGGAACGCGGGCCTCTCACTGTTGCACCCTCTCCCAATGCGGAGCTGCGGAGCACAGGCTCCGGATGCACAGGCTCAGCGGCCATGGCTTACGGGCCCAGCTGCTCCGCGGCCTGTGGGATCCTCCCGGACCGGGGCACGAACCCGTGTCCCCTGCATCGGCAGGCGGACTCTCAACCACTGCGCCACCAGGGAAGCCCTCCCAGCACCATTTCTTGACTTCTCCCCACCATTCCTTTTAACTGGAAATGACATCCTTTCATGTGTTAAATTATTTTATATACTTCAATCTGTCTGTGGACTCTCTAACCTGCTTCACTGATCTATATTTCTCTATCCTAGTATCACACTGTTTTCATTATCGAAGCTTTACAGTGTGTTTTCATAACTTGTCAGCAAGGATGTGAACAGGTCTGAAGGAAGAAAGTCAAACCAGCAATAAAAGTGTGTAAAAGTGCTGGGCCTCACCAGGAATCAGGGAATTGCACATTAAAACTTTGAGATAACATTTTTTACCCACCAGATTTGAAAAGAAAATGTTAAAGACTAATACTATCCAATGTTGATGGAAGAAGTGATGAAGAGACTCCCATAACCTGCTGACCAGAGTATAAACTGGCTTAGCTTTTCAGGACAATTAGAGTATCCATCATCATTTAAAGTATCAATACCTGTAGATTTCACAATTCCAGTAACTAACCTGCATAAAAACTTCTGAATGCACAAAAAGATAGCTTTTTCTTGGGGTATATTTTTGTGTCCTGATATAGTGTGGTTCTGTTTATGTAATTAAAATCCCCATGCTGTAATTCTGTATAAGCTGTACATGTAAGCCTTCGTGATGCTTGAGGTGGGCAGGGGGGATCCAGAGTCTGGGCGTTTCACGATTGGAACTACGCTCTGGCACAACTTTAAAGTCTTTCTCTAACTAGCAGAACAAAGCCCCACTCTGCTCTTATTGCTCAGATGAGTCTAGGTTTGCAGCATTCATTGGTTCCTCCCAATTAACTCGTATCAAATTCTCTTTCTTCCACCCACCTCCGTGTGCCGAAAAATATCTCATGAGATTTTGCTGGGAGTGACGTATTCCATGTACAGATTTGAGGAGAACGTGCCTACACTTACAAAGACTAAAAGCAGATCCTGCAATTAGGGCGTGAATTATATGGAAATGAAAACTGAGTTTTAAGGGTCTGAGGCTACTTTATTAAATCAGTTAGATGTTCCTCTGTCAAACTCTTAACACCTTTCATTTGCTCAGCAAACTCTTTCTTCGGGGAAAGTTTCTGCTCAACCCCTGATCAAAGCTACATGGCAAATGCAGGGTGGTAGGTAGGCTCCAAATTATTCAGGGTTTCTCTGCATCCCAACAGGGCTCGGGCAACAAGGACAGGTAAGGCCACAGAGTCCTCCAAACAGAAATGACCCATCACGGGTACTGCGAACTGGAAAGCTTCAGACCCAAGGCCTCCAGTCCCACCACCACCTGGAGCAGGTGAGTGGGTGTGGGGCTCCAGGGAGGACCTGGTGGGTCTTCCTCCCCGCGGCTCCGGCTGCGGGCCTTCCGGGGGAAAGAAAGTCAAAACACCCACAGGCTCAACTGCAGGAAATGCTCAGTCGTTCCAGACACATAAGTATTTCATATCCAATTTACTCATGAGACCAAGGTCAAGATGCCCCCAGTGCTATAATGATTCCCGCTGCTGGGAGAGAGCATGAATGTTACTGAGATGCAGAGAAACTGGCTGAGCTTCCCCCGCCCCCGCCCTGCCCTCTGTGGGTATCAGTGAGGCTCGGAGCTCAGCACAGCTGCCCTGTTTCCCTATCTGGAGGGGGTGGGAGGGTTTGCCTGGGTTTGTCCTATTTTCTGCTCACACATTTACACAGGCTCAGGGAGGAGGGTGTTGCTTATTTCATTGGCAAACATCGCTGCCCGTTGACTTACATTTTTGTTCAAGAACTTGCCCTGGTACCTGTGGTTCAGGTGGATGAGCTCGGCCGTGCCCTTCTGCTGGCCATTCACCCAGGTACCCACGTACTTGCTGCCTGTCTCCGCATAGAAGTAGGTGCCTTGCCCGTGCCTGGTGAAGATGAGGACCATGATGCACTCGGTTCCGTTGCAGTGAAAACCCTTCCAGGTTTATGAGACACACATTTGTTTGTGTTTTTGTTTTTACGGTACGTGGGCCTCTCACTGTTGTGGCCTCTCCCGTTGCGGAGCACAGGCTCCGGACACACAGGCTCAGCAGCCATGGCTCACGGGCCCAGCCGCTCCGCGGCATGTGGGATCCTCCCGGACCGGGGCACGAGCCCGCGTCCCCCGCATCGGCAGGCGGACTCTCAACCACTGCACCACCAGGGAAGCCCTGAGACACACGTTTGAATCAAGGGGGGGGCCTAGGCTGAGGCGGGCTCACAAGTGGCTTCTATATCTGGGCCCAATCGAAGCACACCTCCTGCTCGTGGCCCAAGCTGAGAGCAGGCATCCCTGCTGGACAGCGGCGGCCTCCTGCCTATCAGCTGGCTGGCTCGGGGAAAAGGCAGGGCTCCTGGGAGCTGCAACTCAGCACCCAGAAGGTTCTCCTGTGCCCTCTGTGGCCTGGGGTCCTTGGGTGGGTTCCCGGGAACCTGCAGCAGTACATTGCTCCCACGCTGGCCTTAAAGCCATGAACCGTGGGGCAGAGCTGGCCAGTGGGCTCTCCGGTCATGATTCTGTTGCTTAGTCACCGTCATGTGCTCCTGACGTGAACTGATCTGTGGGCCCAGGGGGAGAACCGAACCTTTGGTGAGCAAACCACTCCCCGGTGTAGCTGTCATTGTTGACGTAGCGGTACACGCCGTGGCCATGCCTCAGGTCGTCCGCCCACTCCCCTGGAAGGGCCACACAAAAGCAGGGGTCAGGAGGAAACAGCTCCGCCCTTCACCACTGCCCCTGCCCACTCTGACCCCCCTCCATCCCCGCCTCTCGGCCGGACCGATGGACACCTGGAGCGGGAAGCCAGCAGAGGGAGGCTGAGCCGGGCCTCCGGGGGGACGGGCTGGCAGGTGTATGTACTGGGCCACTGTCGCCTGCATGTGCTATAACAGCGGCTTTTTCCTACTTGGCCGGCGGCACGGCAAGGCTTCAAGCCAGGGTTTGCTGTCCTGTGGACAGTGGCCCCAGCTCCACACCCCTGCTGCCTCACGTGCGTTCAGTGATCCAGCAACAACTTGGAGCCTCGGTGGTCTATTCTCAGCCACTTGCCAGCATTTCAATCTGTTTCCCACCTCGCACCTGCTCCAGCGCCTGGGGCCACCCCCCCGCACACCTGTGTTGAGCATCCTCACCAAGCGGCCTCTAGCTGTTCTGCACCCCTTTCGGCCAAAGCAGTGGTGAAGAAATCCCGTGTTAACTTGGGCTTTGGGCTGGAAGACTGTTGACTTACTGAGCTAAAATGAGTACTGAGCCTCCGACCTCAGAGAAGAACTCCCTGGGCAGTGACTGCGCCCTGCACCCATTTAGGTACAAAACCATAAGGAGACACGACAACTCACAACTGCCTCCAAAGACGTTTTATATGTTAGCTAATAACCTTCACAGTAAAAATTCCTTCAACCCCCTATTCTGAGTGCGTATATATGTATCTCTGCATATGCATACATCTTCTCATACATAACATATATAATACATATAAATGTATATGTTGTTCAAATTAGATTAACATCTATGCTGAAATCAAAATAACAATAATGAGATTAGGTTCATCAGAATCTGGAAAGAATTAAATCCTAAATTAGATTGTGTCAAGTTGATTTAAAAAGCAGATGCGTCCTACGTCTGGAGCCAGGCTTCTAAGATTTATGAAACAAAACCAAAGAGAAATTCCATCTCTAGTAGGAACGGCAGTGACACTGTCCACCCAGGTGTCGGATTCCAGCAGAAGCCCTGTTTGAGGATGCCTTGGTTCTGGTTTTATGTGGCCACCAGATCCGCAGCTCCAGCCCACACCCTCAGAGGGTGGAATCCGTGCTAAGAAGCGCTGCTATCGCACAAGCTACATTGTCGCCCACCGACATTTACTGAACAGATACGATCTGTCAGGTCTGGTTCTGAGCATCTCACGTGTGTTCGCTCATCTGATCCTCGCACTGCAGGGGAGAAGGCTGAGGCAGGGAGGGATGGGGTCCCCTGAACCAGGTCACACCTACTGTCACACCAGTTTCAGGGCTGGGCTCATAGACCTTTTTGGAAATCTGATGAAAACTAGATAACTTCCCAGAAAAGCAGCCCAGAACATAACCTTTGCACACCATTGGCAAGGCTCACAACCCACCCCCGCTCGTCTCTCTCCCTGGGTTAGGAACGGCCTTCACCGGTCTTTGGGGTGAGACATCACACTGTCGTCACACCAGGTGACAATGGTGGGTGGGGCGGCAGTGCGGTTCTTGGAAATAAGGGGACAAGAGTCTTCCTGAGCCACATAACGTTGGCACGTAACGCACTGCGGCAGAGGTAAGAATGCCACTTTAACGAGGCAGAACGCCTCCCAGATCAGAAGGCTTCAGTAAAGGAACCACCATCTAAACCAACAGTGTGTTCATCAGAAGAGGGGCTGGTCAGAAATGGAAGACAGCAAGAAGAGCTCCAAGGAGAAGATCCCACTGAGCACCAGGTGACCTGGGTCCAACCCACCCCCCTAGGTCCGTGCTCGCCCAGCAGCCTCTCTCAGCGCATGGGCCCCCAGGAGGGAATGTGCAGGTCACAGGGACAGTCACATGTCCCCCTGTGGATCAGTTCACTAATTACAAGGCTCTCCGGTTTCTGCATCAACCCTGTGAACACAGGAACATAGATCGTATTTGTTGAATGACTGGGGAACTTGAAGCTTTCGTGTGTGTCTCAGCAACCCCAGAGAAGTTCCATCCCCAGGTCCTCCACAACACAGAAGTCTGCTTTGTGGTAATATTTTACCTTCATATCTTGATCCGTCTGGATAGACAAAAGTGCCTCGACCGTGTTTTTTATTTTTAACATATCCTCCAATGTACCGCGCACCACTTTTAAATTTGTAGGTCCCCTGAAACACATTGATTATATAATTCATATCAATCCTGAATTTAATCATTGCTAACAGAGTATTAAATTGGGTAAACCACCCACTCAAGCCACCGATTCTGACCTGGCCGTGCCTTTTACCATGTTCGTATTTCCCTTCATACGTGTCCCCATTGGGCAGTCTCGCTTTCCCGTGTCCATGCCGCTCACCGGCCTCGTTCCGCTCCCCTTCGTATTCCTGGACCGAAGAAAACAAGACGATCACAGTTACCATTTATTAAGCACTAACCAGGGACCTCCCTGGTGGTCCAGTGGGTAAGTCTCTGCGCTCCCAAAGCAGGGGACCCGGGTTTGACCCCTGGTTGGGGGACTAGATCCTGCATGCTGCAAGGAAGATCCCACGTGCCGAAACGAAGACCCAGCGCAGCCAAAATAAATTTTTTTTAAAATGAATAAAATAAATAAAAGCACTAACTATGTGTTAGTCATTTTATTAATAGTATTCCATTGCATCCTCCCAATCCTTGGCCTTGTCTTACAGGTGAGGTAGGTACCAGACCTGGGTGACATGGAGTATCTGTCCAAGGTCACACAGCTGGCACCTGTCCATGGTGGGACTTGCACTCTCTCCCTCCAATGTATTATGATAACCCTTTACGCTGTAAACAAAACTGACCATTTTGAGGAAAATGCGAGGTGCTCCAAGCTGTGTTCTTTATAGGAACACGTTTGAAGTGGCATTTGCGGGTGGAACGTGTCCTAAACCCACCTTCCTCCAATAATACAGAACTTAAAATGCAAATCATCCCTGGGGTGTCTGTGGCCTGAAGACAGCTTTGACCTTCAAGGAAGATCTGATGGTGGGAGAGGGGCAGGGGGAGCTGAGGAATAAACTGGGCTCAGCTGTCAACTTGAGTCTCCCAACTCAATTTAGTTTATCTTATTTTTAAACTCCTTATCAAGAGACTTAAGGTTCAAACGCTCATAGCTAAGATCAATAATTAATCTATCTTAAAAGTAAATCAGGGCTTCCCTGGTGGCGCGGTGGTTGAGAGTCCGCCTGCCGATGCAGGGGACACGGGTTCGTGCCCCGGTCCGGGAAGATCCCACATGCCGCAGAGCGGCTGGCCCCGTGAGCCATGGCCGCGGAGCCTGCGCGTCCGGAGCCTGTGCTCCACCATGGGAGAGGCCACAACGGTGAGAGGCCCGCATACCGCAAAAAAAAAAAAAAAAAGTAAAAAGGCCGCGGAGCCTGCGCGTCCGGAGCCTGTGCTCCACCATGGGAGAGGCCACAACGGTGAGAGGCCCGCATACCGCAAAAAAAAAAAAAAAAGTAAAAAGTAAATCAATAAAAAACATAATACAAGCTTGTCGCTTCCCTATTTTCTCGATCCTTCATGAAATAAACGTTTCTCAAGCACCTAATACATGAGTGTAGAGTGCAAATAATGAATAATGAAATGGCGAGGGCATAGAGCAATGATTTGACATGGTGCTGGATCTAGATAGACATTACACATAAGCTCAGACACATTAAGTCAAGGGCTTCAGAAACAAACATTTTTGCAGTTCTTGTGCTTTTCTAGCACTGTTTGGCTCAGAAATTCATGCTCAGATTATAAGGCAGAATTTTATAAACTTACAAACTTGTTTCAGGGTCAGTCTAAGTCAAAGTGTACAAAAGGCTCCTCCTGCCACCCCAAAGACCTCTCAATACACCCAGTACTGAGAGGCTGGGGTGCCTGAATAGGAAGAGAACCCTTGAAAATGACCCCAACTGTGAATCGAACCTGAAAATTATGGGCATTAAAAAGTTACAGATCGGTAGGGCCATTTGAGGGGACGAACTAGAAAGCTTACTGGGAAGGTGATGTAGCTTGGGTTCCCCAGAAGCAGACCTTGGAGAGAGATTTTTTTTTTTAAGTGCTCCCAGGAGAAACCCGCAAAGGGGGTGCAAAAACAGACGTGAAAGAGGTGGCTGCCAAGCATGCGTGATGTCGGGTGATGTCCCAGACTCAGCCTCATCGCACGGGGTTCTGGAGTGTAGATCACTGCAGTTTGTCCTGCCTTTTAGCACTGGCTGCTGGCTGTCCCGGGATGCGTACATCCCAGGAACTTCCGCCGCTCCCTACTGGCCAGGTGGCTCCAGTGCACAGAGGTGCTTGTCTTGAGCAGCAAATCAGGCAGAAGCTGGAAGACGGGTGTGCAGAGCTAGTAAAAAAGGGCTGAGCAAGCACATCTACCTCAGCAGGGGTGCTGGATTTTTCAGGTAATTCTGAAACTAACTATTTCAACTCTGTACCCTGCACACACACAGCGGATGAGGTTCCCAACCTGCCAGCCAGGCAATAGTCACCCTCTGGCTTCGGGCAGTACAAATATGCCCACATGGAGCCCAGCTCACGTCACTGAACATGCATCCCTGACCTCCTCTCTGCTGTCTAAACCAGGAAATATTTCCAACGACCCTGGTCATTTCCAACAAGAGTGAAGAAAGCACATGTGATTACAGACCTGTATGGTAATACCTCAGGAAGCCTTCGCTGAGCCTGGGACCTCCTTAGCATTTCTTGAAGGCTGCCAGGAAGCAGCTTTCCTTCATCTCCCTTTAATCCTGAGGAGCCAGGCTCCATTACAGAAATAGTTGCAGAATAATATACAAAAATACATTCAAGAATAGTATGGTAGCTTGGGATGACCCAGCCATCCAAGGAAACTGCCTCGATGAAGGGTGACAGCAGGGAAGAGGACGCTTCCAAAGCCTTGGATTTGGAAATCTTTGCCTTTAACGATAGGAGGAATTGGTGGAGGGGGGAGCGAGAAGGGATTCGGCAGGCGGACGTCATAACGTTTCACCTTTCACAGCCATCTTGCAGGACGCAGCGCCCGCCGTGGCCTGCGTGGTCCTTGTTCTTGGCTGGGCCTCCCAGTGGGACTGTGGCTGGCCTCCAGGCCACCCCACTCTCCGAAACGGGCTTCCAAGGGTCCGCGCACCCCTGGGAGCCTCCCCCTTACCCGGAGATCTCACCCCAAGATCATTCTCTCCCTCCTCCTCCAACTCTTCAGAGCCCAGGTCCGACATGATCCCGCCCCAGTCTGGATCCCGGCTGCCGCCTGAGCCTTTCTAGTCGGTAGGTACCAGGTGCCTGCACCGCGTCCGCCGTCGCCACGGAGACGCGGCCCGGCCCGCCTTCCTCCCAACTGGGGCGTAGAAGCCGGAAGGTGGGGGTAGGAGTCACTGTTAACCATCGCATGCTGTCATAGCAACGGGACGCATCCACCAATCGCCGCTTGGGACGGGAGAGAGGCGGGACCTGGGGCGAGAGGCGTAGGGAGAAGCCAATGGCAGCCTTCGGGGGCTGTCATAGCAACGAGAAGGGGAGCCTCGGCCAATCGTCGCGCAAGAGGAGGGAGGGGGCGGGGCCTGAGGCGTACTGGGTACCCACCTGCTCGCTAACCTGGACAACCAGCTGCTGGGTGATGCTGCAACGAGGAGGGGTGCAGGAAGCGCGTCGGGCCAGTTCTCCTGAGGCCTTCACCCCTGCCTAGGGCTGGGCACTGCCCCTTCCCAGCCCTGGCCACTGGTTCCTCGGCTCCCTCGGCAGGCCCTCTTCACCTTTCTGAGCTCTTCTGATCCTTCGGTGTTGGCAGTCCACAGAGATGTGTTCTTCGAGATCTTTTCTCGTGTTTGTAAACATCTCCTGGCTCAAGGAGTCAGCTCGGACCTATTAGCAGATGCAATCTACCCTGATGCCCGTCAGGGTTTGACGTCTCTCCTCCACCCTAGGTGTGAGTCCAGCCCCCTGGGGTTCCCAATTGGAGCTCGCTCCCTCACACACGCCTAGACAGTCACTCACACGCGCATACACCTGCACATTGACACTCACTCCCACTCGTTAATGGGCCCCTTGTCCTCGCTTCCCTCTGGTCATCTGACCCTCGGCCTGCCCAAGGCCCCTCATGATCTCCTTTCCGGCTCGTCTGTCACCAGCCCTGATCCCAGCCTGTAAGCTCTATTAGCGGTCTCTAATTCAGCCTCTCTATCTCCAGCCTTTGGTACTCTTCACCACCTCACGTTCCTCCTCTACTCCGAAGCCCAAATGCAGACCAGCCTTATCCAATGGCGTTCAGTCCCTCCATGTTCAAGCCCTAAGTCATCCTCTCAGCCTCACGGCCCACCATCCCCTTCCTATTCTGGTTTAGATGCTTGACACAAAAGAAAACCACAGGCACTTGCCCCAGTACATCCTTCACTTCCCCACTTCTATGCCTCTGCCTGTACCAGACTCTCTCCCTGGAAAGTCTTCCTTCCCCCAGCCTTGCCTATCAAAAGTCATAGCCATTCATCAAAGACTGGATAAGAGACCACTTCCAGAAAAAGCTCCATATTCATGATAAGGGTGCCCTCGTGGAGGAAGAGGGGAATGGGGCTTAGAGAAAGAGGAAAGGACTTCAGCTCTGTATCATCTATCTGACTATCATCCATCCATCTACCTACATATTTTAAAGGTCTAAGTGTGACAACATGCAAAATTTAATTTTAAGTAGTGAGTTTTTATTAGTACATAATAACCATATTTCTCTGTGTTTTTAACGTTTTGCTCTAAATGTTGGACCCCTCCCTCCTGCAGTTCCTATTGATCCTTCAAGTTAGCTGTGCTCCCTGTCTCTCTCTTAATTCCCATCGTACCTTTAACCATCTTCATCAAATGCACAAGACAAGTTCTGTCTCACGTGACAGTCATCCGGGTGGTTGTCTGATTTCTGGGTATCAGGAGCCATGCCGCCCTCATCTTCGTTTCCCCCTCAGCACCTCATGTTTTGCACACAGTGGATGCTCAACCAAGCCAAGGAAATCCAGTCCATATGGGCCTTTAGATCCCCTGGTGAGATGGAAATATGCTTTTCCTTTATCACCTTTACTTAAAAGAATCTCTACTTTGTGTGTGGAAGTAAACAAAGACCACCCAATGAGAACAAGCAAAGACTATTGGAGGCTTGCTATAGCAAGGGATTCAGCCACCATCACTTGCATTTTGGCAGAGACTCAAAGGCAGGCAGAGGAGTGGGAAAGCTTTATAGTGGGAAAAAGGAAAGGGGTTGGTGCCCTGACTGCAGGCTGTGGGTGTGGGAAAGCTGCCAGAGGGCTCACGAGAACCAAGACATCCCATGTGTTTGGTTACAGTAAAAACTCAGCTTTCTCTGGTTGGTCCTAAGGGGGAAGGAGGGGGCAAAAGTTAGGGTGCCTCTCAGTTATAATCAAGTCCTGGCCATTTGGAGCTGATTGTTAAAAGGGTTATTGTTTGTTACTGGATCAGTTAGTAGAGCTAGCAACTGACTTCCTGCCAGTCTGGCCTACAGTAGGCTGGCTTCTTGCTATGGTTACTGTAGACAGTGGGTTGGTTTCCTGGGCTTGTTGCTGCAACCTGTGGGTCAGAGCTCTATTTCTATATATGGTTTGGCCATCGTACATTTGTATATCCAATTTTAATGTGTTTTTGCAAATTATACAAATAACTGTGTTTCATCTTAAATCTAAATATTGTATGGTGCTCTTAGTTGCTTTTGAGATTTAATACCTTCAACAATAATAATAACCCCAACTTTTTATTTACTTAAATCTAATATTTAAGTATTTTTTAAAATTGATCTAAGTGGAGGGAAAACAGGTCTTAAAGTCATCATCATTTAGTGGAAACATTACTCACCTAGAGCCAGAATGCCCAATGTCAAATTCTGGGTTCCCATGGCCTATTAGCTTTGGTGACCTCAGGCAACTCACCTGCCCTGAGCCTCAGTTTCCTATTCTGTAAACTGAGGGGAATAAACCCTTCCAAACTCGAAGAGCTGCCCTGGGGATCAAAAATGGTACTTTATTAATGTATTGTTATTTATTATGATAGCTATATAATGCCATCAATGAAGATCTAACAAAGAAATCACATATCATTAATAGGAAGTTCTCCTCACACCCACCCACCCCCCTCCCAGGTGTGTCGTGTGATGTTGCTGGGGGATGGGGAGATGGGGGAGGGTAGCAGTGCCTGAGTAAACACAAAGGCCAAATCCATGAGGTGAATAGCTGAATAATCGACAGATCTTCCAGAACACACATAGCATGCCAACGTTTCCTTCTGAAACAATAGCATAATGGAAGGTTGCAATCTTAATCACATCTCAGGCCCAAATCCATCACTTACTGAAAAAAGAAACAATGTACAGGCAAATTAACACACACAAATTAACACACACAAATTAACACACAATTATATTGTTTGTTAGTTGCAAAGATAAAAAGATTGTAAACACCCCAAATTAACAGTTTTTCTTGTGGGAAAAAAGTGGGGACTTTAGAAGGACAAATGGCTATGATTTTCTTCTTTATACTTGTCAGTTGCCACATTTACTACAGTGGGGTGTGTCTTTTTATAATAATACCTCAAAATATTTTAAATATTAGAGATCTGGAATGGTAATACAATCAAGAATATGCAACCAGATGTTAGCTTTTTTGCATATAAAAATAAATGTCAGGAATTCAATTTTCAAATTTTCTCTAAAAATGCCAGTGAGTAATGTTTGCTAAGTTCTGACTCTGTGCTGGCAGTGTCTGAAGAGTTTTATATATGAATTATCTTAACAAATCCTCACTGTCATTTCTCCATTGTACAGCTAAGGAAACGGAGCCACAGAGAGGTAAAGACATTGCTCAAAATCACACAGCCAGTGGGATTCAAACCATGCCATCTGACTCAAGCTATTGCTGTAAATCACTACACTCTACTGCCCCCCCCATCTCTGATTTAAAGGAATAACTATGCTTTTCTGGGAGTGACTTTAACCATCTACCAAGCACAGAACCACTGGCTCAAAGAGCCTTCGATTAAAAGACTCAGAAAGTGGTTTAAGCACACCCTGCCCTGGATCACATCATAAGCAGCTGGGTGCCTAACCACTGAATTATTAGACCCTAAAATTTACAACTGGATTTATGGCTTATGCAAATTAGTCAGAATCCTCCCAACCCACCAAATCTTTCAGTCAATCTATAGTAATTTCATTACCATGCAGGTTTAACAATCGTCCAAATAAGGCAAGATCAGGTAAACATCAGGACCAGCCTCCCAGCCTCCTGCAGCACAGAGCCCAGAAACTCCTTCCAGAAAGAGGCTGCTCGCCGCTCACGGCAGGTAGAAAGCCCCACCTACCCTCTCCCTATGAGACCTGCGTAGTCCAGAAAGACCTCATTTGGCCAGCCTGATGCCGGGCAGCCCCAAACTCCCTGACCCTTAAGCCCCACGTGACACGCAAGTACTTGGTGATCACAGAAGCAGCGATTTCAAAATCCGAAGGCCTACGAAACTGTGGCAGAGCTCATCCTCCTTTCCCGGAGACAAAAAGGTGAGGCCTCACTAGGAAGAGTTTCTTCACCGGAAAATGGAGGAAATCCTACTTCTCAACCTTGACAGGGAGGCACTTCCCCTACTCCCCCAGCCGGCCCTTCCCATCACCCCCCGGGAGGGGGTTCCCATCCTGTCCCCTCCCCCTCCCCCCTCCCCCCACCGCAGAGAGCGTGCGCAGATGAGCTCTCCGTGGAGAAGGGAGGGGCGAGGCGGCAGGGCTTCAGGTGAGCCGAGGAGGTGAAGGACCACGGTTCCTCCCAGCTCCATTCCCCCAGGCGGAAATTATCTTCTTGCTTTTCTTAAACATAAATGAGACCCTCCTCTCTCTACTGCTCCCACCCCCGCCAAAAGAAGGGGTGAAGGAAACCCGATCCGTGGTTCTGCCCCGAGGGGCTGGGGATAGTGGCTTCGGCTTCTACGGTGGGACCGCCCCGAGGGAGGAAGGTGACCTGGAGGCCTCGTCCGCTTCCCTTGTTCCACAGCTTTCTGACCCACCTCCGAGCTGGGTCGGGGCTGCCCGGCAGTTGCCATGGCGACTGGCTGAGGCCCTGAGCCTGTCCCTTCTGGACCGTGGCGGACAAGGCAGAGGGGAGTCGTCAAAATGCAAACAGGGTTGTTTCTGTGTTTGTTTACAAACTGCTCGGATAAAAAGCAGGGACTTTCAACAGAATGAATTCAGGCCCATCTTC